GGAGTTGGGGTGGGGGCGGGGCCCTGTGGAGTGTCCTGTTTTTGGAGTATTAAAATATGGTAACCCTAGAATAGAGTGGGGCCTGGCTTAAGGAAGGCGCCCAAGGTAAATTTCCTCCCCCAGCTAAGGTGTGGTGAGGGTAGAATTGAGCATCATGAACAAGGGTTTGTGAGATCTGGGACGGCGCAGCATAGGGGAAATTGTGTAATTGTACCTGCTGCCATGCGAAGTGGCTGTATCACGTTGACACAGGGCCACCTGCTTGGGTGAGATTCCTTCACACTGTCTCCCTTATCTTTCCCATGGACCATCAGCTGGAGGGCAACATGATCACCTATCCAGAGCCTGTATGTTAGACATGCTCAGATAGTGTCCTGATGGGCACCTTAGAACAGTGTGTAATAAAACTGTGCTACTAATAAAATTGATACTACACTTGAACTCAGTCCAAGGTGTAAGTGGTGTTATATAAAGAGCTCAGTGCAAATACTTATAATCTAAAGAAGAAGCCAGAGAATCCTAAATATATATCTCTAAAACATTCCCTTCTTCACACAGAGTTTTGCAGAATGGGCCTTAGGAGATTTATCCAAGCCTCTTATTTCCAATGTGCCAGAACATCAGGAATCCTAAAGCATGTACGATACAAACCTCCAAGTTTGGTACAGTGGAGGCATTCTGGTTCAAGTCTCTATAAAGCTGTAATCTTTGACATGGGGGGAGTTCTTCTCCCTTCCCCTTACCGGGTGGCTGTAGGTGAGTATTTTTGACTGGACATGTTAACTGGAGTAGCTGACTAGTGACCTTTTTGTGCATTTAATACAAGTATATTTCACTTTTATTTATAACTCTCATTGCTGTTTCCAATACAGTGATGATCAACTTTACTTCCTCTTTGGGGATTTACATGACATGGTGGTGGTGATTCCAATTCCCAGTGAACACTCATACACATCATCAAATCTATTAGAATTGACATAGTTGGCAATCTTGTTGGCATTTGCAGGTGGGAGGTCAAGGGTTGAATGGGGGGTGAAGATTAAACTGTCCTGTAGTACTTCTGACTACTATATGAACATGAACTAATCCTTTCTCTCTCTCTAGTACAGGATTGAGGCACATTGGCAGGATGGCTTGGGGAGAACTGTTACTGTATTTCTTCTGTGGGTGCATAGAGGACATCAGTCACCTGGGCTGTCAGTTCAACACCTTTCATGAATGCTAATATTGCCTTTTTTGTGCTAGACTTCATTGTAATGCCAACTAGTGTTGAGGGATTTCAGTTCCATTAGTAAGGCTAAGATTTAGTCACAGGGTATTTTTAGTAAAAGTCATGGGCAGGTCACAGGACATAAATGAAAACTGACAGTCCGTAACCTGTCCATGACTTTTACAATATAAATACCTCTGACTGAAACATAGCAGCTTCTGGGGCCCCAGGGTGCCACTGCTTTGGGGGGCCCCAGGGGCTGATGGCTAGCCCCTGCATTGGCTGCAGGGGCTAACTACCCCCAGCCACCCGCTGCTCCGAGGCCCCGGGGACTGCTGCCCTGGAACTCCCTGGGGCCAGCCGCCCGGGGCCACCTGAGCAGCAGCTGGTGCAGCTGGCCCTGGGGCATTCCCTGGGACCACTGCTTGGGCATCCCTGGGGCCAGCCGCCCGGGGTTGCCTGAGCAGCAGCTGTTGCAGCTTGCCCCAGGACCACTGCTTCGGTGCTCCCCGGGGCCAGCCTGAGGTCACGGAATCCGTGACTTCCGCAACCTCCGTGACAGAATCACACCCTTCTCCATTAGGGCTTTCCCACTCCTGACAACGTTGGTGTGCTGTCTCCTCACTCTGCTACCTTCCTTTATTTAGAATGGGAGGTGCGGAATCATATTCCACCTGGCACTATCAAACAAGCCTTAATATCTGGAGGGGAGAACAGGCCCTGGATGAGGTACATGAGAGGGGAGCTGACATCAGCGGCGTTTTTGCAAGAATTTGGACAGCAGTGCTCTGAGATTGTAAGCCAAGCTCCCAGCTTTCCTGCTTGATTCTTGCTGACTCCTCACAGGAGAATGGGGTTTCGTGCAGATTCATCAAACTGTATAGAAATCATAGAGCTAACAAAAGAGCAATTTTTAAAAGAGTCCTGTCTGTAGAAAGTTCTGCTGCTGCTTCCACTGTTGCTTCATGTATAGCACGGGCAGGTGTGGACTTTTCTGTCTGCAATGCAATTTCCTAAAGCATCTTCTCATGCATTTAAGAGACACAGCTGTCTACTCTATCTGCCTATCTAGATTTTTACACTGCAGTCATTATTCTGGTACTTTAGCAGAGGCTGCCTTAATCTGGTCCCCTCCCTTCTGCCTTCCTTGCTTCATAGCTTTTTTTCTTAGTTTTTCCACTTCCAGTGCCAAGAGAGCTATTGTAGATGTGTGATATCCACCTCTGATGAAGGGTTAGCAGGGAGAGAGGAGAAGCAGAGGCTCTTCAGCAAAGAGATCACATCCTTCCTTAGGCGTGATCCAGGTGGCAGAGACTGAATTTTGCCGACAGTTTCTAGATGGACGTTTAATGGCTAGAAGCAACATGCTTGGTGGAGCGTCTGTAGTTTCAGTGGAACTTGCACCATGCTCCAGAAGCCAACATACTCAATCTGTTGTAAAGCAAGGCTCAGCTTTTCAACCAAGCCTTTGTCAAACAGATCAGTCTACAAAGAAGGCTCCTTTTTTGATTGCTCAGTTGTAATGAATGGTTTTATTTGTGATCTGCCCTGATGCCGTGGTGGAAGCGCACTATAAATAAATAAGGAGTCTCTAGTTGTTTCTCTTCCCCAGCTTCATCCCTTTAATGCTTAACTCTTCATCTCCTTCCTTTGTAGAATTAGGAACCTAAGGAACTTTTATTTATTGTGTTTGAGCAGTTTAGCCAGAGAGCTAGGCTGACTGCCTCCTGTTACAGGAAGAAGTGGGGAAATAAGCTAAAATGATCAGCCAATCTCAGGCTATGCACAAAGTTTCACATTTTCTTCCATTTGCTGATGATGATCATTGTTGGGGTTTCTCTTGTTTCTTAGGCAAACTTCTCTGTTCCAGTGGACTCCTTTCTCTCTGATCTAACCAGTAGTCAGATGTCAAAACAGCTCCCCATTATGACTGAAGCTTTAGAGTGTATCCGGGCAGAAGGTCTTAAGACAGCTGTTCTAAGTAATAACTTCTACCTTCACAGTGGGGTGAGCTTTTTGCCCCTAGACCGAAACCAGTTTGACGTGGTAAGCCTGAACAGATTAAAAAATGCATTTATGTAGCTAGATTTATAAAAAGCATTCAGCAGAATTCTCTAAGTGCAGGTCCAAATTAAAGATAGAACAGTAATAAATATACTGTGTGTTAGTATAACACATGGCGTGTCTTCAGCTGCATCTCCCTCTAGTGACTAGCCCATAGCAAGGGTTAGAGTGAGTTCCAGCCACCTGTGCATTTAGTGGATTCATTACAAAGTGGACCACAATTAGCTAGCGTATTACATGTCTAATAATGCCTGTAAAAGGTTTAGAAGATGGAATGCTCTATATAAGTTATTATTAACAGTTCCAAAGCTCCATTCATCTGAAAGGGTCCCAGAGAGCACTTCACACATAGCCCCATTGAAATGCTGTCATATCTGGGGAAGTGGACAGCAGCCAGGCAAATAGCCATCTCAACAGTTGGAGAGAGGAGGGGAAATTTTGGCCAGGGACATAGGGACACGTCTTTGGTCTTATCAGAGGTTGAACTAAGCAAGCTGC